TCCAAGCTCCCTCCTCTCCCTCCCACCAGGCTCCTGCCTGGAGCCAGTGCCCTCCTCCCCACTCCAGTCGGTCGTGGGTCCTGCCAACAGCCTTGAGGCTTCTGGCTCCAGCAGGCCCTGTGCCCCTGCCCACTTCCACCCTCTCCAAATAAACGCCACTCCTTTCTTAACCTTGCCCTGATCCCCCCTGCCTCTGAGGAGCCCACGTGCATTGGGAAGAAGGAGCTCCCACAGGACAGCGCTCAGCAGGAGACTTCCCCATGAAGAGGTGCTGAGTGTGGATCCCGACTCCAACACCTGGGCACTGTGTGACCTTGAGAAAGAGCCGAGCCTCTCTGGGCCTTGGCTTCCCCAACGACCAAAGGCGGTACTGCGAGTGGCTTAGGAGGGAAACTCCTGTGCATGCGGCAGAGGGCTCTGCTGGGGCAGGAGTTTCAGCTCCCCCCAGGTGAGACCCCCCTGAGCCCTCGGGGTTTCAGTGTCCTTATCAGCAAACGGGGCTAAGGAGCCAGAGCTGGCTGCCACTCTACCCTGCCCTGGCTGGGCACCGGACTGCCCATGGCCAATGGCAGAGGTCAGGGTGGGTTGGGGAGAGCAGACAAAACCTCACAGCGCAGAGGTGGGCAGGGGTGGGGGCTGCACCTGCCTTGATCCCAGTGGGCTCAGGTGGGTCGAGTTGTGGTGAGCAGAGCTTTCCTGGCCTCCCCACCATGCTGCTTCCTGAAGCCCAGGAGGGGCAGCACCCCCCACCACGACCCCCACCACCCCCCACCACCCCCCACCACGACCCCCCCATGATGCCCCACCACAACACCTACCATAATCCCCTCACCACAACCCCCCACAATAACGCCCCACCACGACCCTCCCACCACGACCACCCCACCATAATAACCCCCCCATCACGACACCCCCACCCCCAGCCCTGAGTGGAAAATGCCCCAGGGAAAATGGCCCTGTTGGGGCCCCTGGGGAGGCCCCCAGTCCTGGGGCACTGTCAAGAAGGGTGAGAGATGGACCCCGGCGGCCCCTGGGGAACAGCTGGGGTCATCTGCTGAATGCCTGGCTCCCTCTCCTCCTCATCCTTCTTGGTGACCCCAAGTTCATGGTGGGGGACATGTTGGTGGACAGACAGGTGGCTACAGAGGGCCAGGGGGAAGCGTCTGGGCCTCCAGGGCAGCAGGTGACCCCGAATGTGGGGGCTGCTGTTTCTGTGCGAGGGCCACCTATGTGCACCAGCCGTCTGCGGGGCAGGAGTCCGTGGATGTGTGTGGTGTTGTGTGTCTGTGGGGGTGTTGTGTCTGTGTACCGTGTGGCTGTGGCCCTGTAGCGTGCCTGTGTGTGTCTCCGGGTGCCCATCTCGGCGGGGGCCGTGAGTGCCAGGAGCTGCGGGACTGAGTCTCGGGTCCTCTGGACTCGGCCTGCCGCCTGCTGCCGCTGGTTTGCGGGGAGGGAGCGGGAGGAGGGGGCGTCGGGCGGACTGCAGCGCTGCGGGCTCCCGCGGCCACGCGGGCCCAGCCTCCGGCGAGAGGGGTTGGGGAAAGGGGGGAGGCAGGAGGGGGAGGGGAAGGGCAGGGGGAAGCGGGAGGGGGTCCAGGTCTCCCCGCAGGCCCCACCCAGCGCCCTCCCCCGGTGTGGTGTCCCCGGCGCGGGCGAGGAGTCGGGGGCCTCGGGGTCGCCGAGACCCGCCCAGGGCGCTCCACGCGGACTCCGGCTCCAGTGCTCCGCGCTGCCGCAGGGCTGCAAGCCTAACCATTTTGGGCTGAACGACAAAAGCGAGAGAGAGGGAAGTTGGGGGGCGGGGGCGGCGCGTTTCCCCCCACCCGCCAGAGCCGGCCGCGGGCTCGGGGCAGGTGCCGGAAGGTCGCGCGGCCGGAGCGGGGCTGCCCGGGGCCCGCAGCGCGGAGGCGGAAGCGAGTGGGTGCGGGCGCCGCGCGAGGGGAAAAGTTTCCGACCCCGGAGCGAGACTCGGCTGAGAAGTTTCGGCCGCGCCGGGCGGCGCCAAAGCCAGGCCAACACTGCCCCCGCGTGGGCGCGGCGCGGCTCTGCAGCCGGCGGAGGGGCCGGGGCCCGCCGCCGTCCTTGGGGGAAACTGAGGCCCAGAGAGGGCGAGGTGGGCTGCGCAAGGCCACCCGGAGGAGGGGCGGTAGAATCAGGCCTGATGAGACCCGCAGGCCCTCCGGGAAATACAAAGCCTGGGTCAGGGGACGGGGCGTGAAAGTCCAGAAAGGCAGACGGAGGGGAGGGACGTCCCGGGCACTGAATCCCACTCCGGTGAGTCCCGGTGGAGGCGCGGCTGCAGCGCTGTCCTCGTCCCATCCCCGCAGAGTTCGTCTAAACTGAGCCTAGCTCTGTTGCCTTTCTTATGGAGTCAGGGCGCCTCTCCCAAAAGGCCTCCCCCATCCGCACCCCAGCCGGGCCCTAAGGACCCCCACCGGCCACCGCCCAGCCCAGTCCCGCCGCTTGCAGCCCCTTCCTTTGCCATTGAACAAGATGCCAGGGTGTGGGTTCCATGCTATTTCCTCAGCGGCCAGGAGGTGGCGAGAAAGACCCGGATCCCGGCAATGGCGCAGGGCCGGGGGCCGCTGGCAGCTTCAGGGAGAGGGGTGACGGCTCAAACTTTGTCCAGGGGGCTGGAAGGCAGGTGTGGCGGGGACAGACCTGGCGGGCACGGGCTTGGCGGTGGCCTGGGGTGCTGGGTCAGTGCCTGCCACCTTGTCTTTCGCCACCTCCTGATGCAAACACCCACCCCACCATCCCCAGACGAGGAGAGAACCGGAGGCCCCAGCCCGCCACACCCAGGTGTTTTGCCTTCCAGGGACCAGAGGCTGTGAACCTGGCCGGGGAAACGCGTAAGACTAATTAATACAGGGTACTTTTCCCCGGGCTGGAGTCGACGCCCTCACACCACAGTGAAGGTTAGATGGAGGCTTGGACGGGGAGGGCGGGGCGGGGTTCTCCACCCCTAGGCTCAGTTTCCAGCAGGTGCCTACTTCAGGTGTGGGCATTTAGGTCGACAGAGGCTTGGTCCCAAGTTTTGGGGGTTTCTTGTTGTTTGTTGAGACAAGGTCTCATTCTGTCGCCCAGGCTGGAGCGTAGCGGTCTGATCACAGCTCACTGCAGCCTCAACCTCCTGGGGTCAGGCGATCTGCCCGCCTCAGCCTCCCAAGTACCTGGGGCTACAGGCATGCACCGCCACGCCCAGCTTATTTTTGTTTTTTGATTTTTTTGTAGAGACAGGATCTATGTTGCTCAGGCTGCTCTTGAACTCCTGAGCTCAAGCCATCCTCCCACCTCAGCCTTCCAAAGAGCTGGGATTACAGGCATGAACCATCGCACCCAGCATGTTCCCAGGTCTGAGGTCTGTGGCAGGGTCTCCCACCTTCCAGAAAAGGGGTTCACTTGGTACAAGTCCTAGACCCCAGGGATGCCCTGTCCCCACCCCTCAGCCTCATCCTGGCTGTCTCCCCAATCCCTTCCTCCCAGGAACCCTCAGAGACCAGCAATCAGGTACAAAGAAAGGTTTGTGGTGTGAGCCACCTGGGATGTGCCTTTATTTGTGGGGCAAGGAAGGGCGATCCTCATGGCCTGGCCCTGTGTGCTCTGGGCTTGGGCTAGCAGGTGTTCACCTCTGAGCTCGATGCAGCGTTGGGGAGGGCCAGAGGAGATGGTACTTCTTGGGGCGGCCTTGCTTCAGGACCGACTGCAGCACCAGGCTGGGAAGGAAGGACTCCTAGAGTGAGACAGAGGACCAGCTGGCTGCCACCAGGACCTCAGGGCAGGGGACTGGGCCCCCAGGACCCAGCGGGATTCTATGCTGCAGCCCTGTTGGGCAGCTTCTGCTGTCAGCCCCATTTACGAGGTGAGGAAACAAATGCAAGGCCAGGCACTGCGGGAGGCTGAGGCAGGCGGACCACCTGAGGTCAAGAGTTCAAGACCCGCCTGGCCAACGTGGTGAAACCCCGTCTCTACTAAAAATACGAAAATTAGCTGGGCATGGTGGCAGGCACCTGTAGTCCCAGCTACTTGGGAGGCTGAGGCAGGAGAATCACTTGAACCCAGGAGACAGAGGTTGCAGGGAGCAGAGATTGTGCCACTGCACTCCAGCCTGGGCAACAGAGCAACACTGTATCCCAAAGAAAAAAGAAAGAAGGAAGGAAGGAAGGAGAAAGAGAGAGAGAGAGAGAGAGAGAGAGAGAGAGAGAGAGAGAGAGCAAGAGGAAAGAAGGAAGGAAGGAAGCCACAGCCTTCGATTATGGAGCTGTGATCTGAACCCAGGCACCTGACTTAGAGGCACCCCTTGACTGTGATCTGACTTAGAGGCACCCCTTGACTGCTTCATTTTGAGGGAGATGCAGGAACACAGGCCCCCCGCTGACTTGGCTCACAGGGAGAGTCCATTCCCAGCCCTGCCCACCCCGCCAAACAGGGCTTCGCCTGGGGCCAGCTGCCAGCTGGGGGTTCACCAGCTTCTGGCTCCAGAAGCAAGACTGTTTGCCCACCTGCTCCAGGAGGCCGTGGGGGTCCAAGAAGGCTTGGAGGCCCCTTGGAGGCCCCTGAGCAGCATCTTTCTTCCATGAAGAGGAGGGCAGGCTGCTGTTCATGAAGGTGTCCTCAGAAAGGTCGCCCTGTGTCTTCTTGGAGGGCCTGGAGGAGACAGGACCCCCATGAGCTTCGTGGACCCCGAGTCCCCGGCCCAGCCATGGCTGGCAGGGCCCTTGAGGGCCCACACTGGCAACCCTCCTGCTGCTGGGTGGGGAGGTATGTAGGCAAGGGGTGGGGAGCCCTGGCAATGTCCGCAAGACCCATCCCCTTCCCTGGAGCCTCACAGGCCAGCGCAGTGCCGGCATAAGGAGCTGGCCGGGGTCTCCTCCCTGGCCTCCGGGTACAGGGCTTTGGGCAAACTCTCCAGCCATTTTCCAATGTTCCCACACTCCTGCTCCGACGCCACTGGCCGGGTGGCCTTCCGGTTCACAGTGACGCTCTGTGTGACTGCAGGAGAGAGGGCAGGGTGAGATCTCTGCCAGGGAGGGCACTGGTGCCCCCACCCTCCCTTCCTCCCTCTGGCAGGCAAGGCCGGTCAGAGCCCTGTCTCCATGGCAACTCCTAGCTCCCCAGTGCCTTCTGGCTGCCTCCGGAGAAAGCCTGGGCTTTAAAACCACCTGCGTGACTGTTTCTGTTATACCCGAGCTGTGCCTCCTGCGCACCCCGACTTGTGCTGCGGCTGGAAGCTCGGCCCTTTTCCCGCAGTGGGGAGACCACTTACCCCAGCACAAAAATCCCAGAAAGCATGCCGAGAGTGCTGAGGGGTTCAGGGAGGGCTGCCTCAGGGCTGGGGGCTTTTCCTGCCCAACATCAGCCATGCGGGGTGGTCCAGGGACCCTGAATTCCCCAGTGGCTGCCGCAGGATGGAAAGGGCTGGGAAGCAGCAGGCTGGCCCCCACACCTCCTGGGTGCCCTGCTGCCCTGGCACCATTGTAGCTCCTTATGGCCAGTGGCCGACACAGAATCATCTCCTGTCGACTGCCATTCACAGGAAATTGTTTCTTCTAGACTTGTACTGGCCTTGGATTCCCAAGAGGGGCTGGGGCACTCTGTCTTCTATATATGGCTCTGTGTCACCCACACAAGCCCCTTCTGCTTCCGGGGCCTTAGTTTCCCTACCAAACACACAGAAGTTGGGCAAAAATCACAGCTTCTGACTCCAGCTTCCTATGATACCGAGGGGCTGGGTCAGATCCCTCCCACATCAGCGAAGGTCCTAGGTTTGTAGGGCATCGCCCACAGCTGGTCCTCGAGGCAGGCGTTTCCTGAAACTGCACGTAGTAGGTGCTCAATGAACAGCTAGAGGAAGTTGGCTGTTGGAGGCCCTGGGGACTACTGGACCCTGAGAAGAGGCTGGGCACATGGAAGGAAGTGGAGCTTGGTCAAGGTCATGTCAGAGCGAGAACACGGACTTCTCGCCTGCTTCTCGAAACCCACTTCAGAAAACTCTCTGGGAGCGGCAAAACGGACACCATTACACCCAGGGCCTGGTGGTTCTTAGCTTCTTTGCTGGACCAGGCAGTGCCCACTGTCTCCAGCAGAGAGAACGTTTCCTCTTCCTGGCTCTTCTGGGCACCTCCTCAGGCAGGCTTCTGAGGTCTGCCTTCATGGATGTGGGGGGAAGATGCTTCTCAGGGCATCGGGGCCTCCTCCAGCCCCTGGACGCTGTGGGGGCTGGGGAAGGGAGCAAGGGTAGGGTGGGCTCGGTGGCTCTGGCTACGGGTTTCAAGGGGTGCAGATGCAGCGCATGGGGACTCCTTGGCAGCGAGCAGTCCAGGGTGCCCCCCACCTTGCAACACCTCCGCTGGACTCTGGACCCTCTACTTGGTCCTCGAAGGTCACCCTGACACCCTCCAGGGAGGCCAGTTCAGGCGCTTCCTCAGCAGGGTCACTGACCTCTTGGCCTTTGCAAGCTGGTCCCTCACTCCAGAGACCCAGAGCTGCAGCCTCTCTGCCCTCCTGGCTGGAACTTTCTGGCATCTCCCCATCCTGGCTGCTTACCTGAGCATCGGCGCTCCCAGTAGCGGAGAAGAATGTCCTGCAGGGTCTCGTCAGCAAATCGCACCCGGAAAGGGCAGCGAGGCCTGTGGGGCCCGGAGCCTCTCCCGGAGGGCCTGCTGGGAGAAGAGAGAGGGGCCTGTGCTCAGAGCCCACGTCGCATCCCAACACACATCCGCCAGCCCCGGACTCGCCGTGAGATCCTAGACAAGTGGCCTCCTCTGGCCTCTAAGACTGGATGATGCCAGTCACAGCAGCCCGCCTTGACTGAGCATGTCCCGCCTGCCAGGCAGGCTCAAGCAGGCACATGCACCATCCCACCAAATGCACACAGCCCTACGACATGCTGTGATCATTCTCATTTTATAGTTGAGGAAACAGAGGCACAGAGATGATTCTAAGGTCACGCAGCCGCTAGGCATGGAGCCAAGACTGGCATCCTGGTTCCAGAGCTGTCCTCCTTGCACATAAAGCGGTTTAGCAGAGAGACTAAGAATGCTAGCCCAGGAATCATGCAGTCCTGGGTTTCAGTCCTGACCTTTTTGAGCCTCAGTTTTCTTATCTGTAAAATGGGAATTGTTGTGCCCACTGTATAGGGTTGTGAAGAAAGGAAATGGGTCGTAAAAGCATCCAGCCCAGGGTCTGCAGGACCCAGAGTAAACATCACTAACTGGAAGCTGCTCCTTTTTTTTTTTTTTTTTTTTTTTTTTTTTTTTTTTTTTTATGAGATAAGAGTTTCGCTCTTGTTACCCAGACTGGAGTGCAATGGTGCGATCTCGGCTCACCGCAACCTCCGCCTCCTGGGTTCAGGCAATTCTCCTGCCTCAGCCTCCTGAGTAGCTGGGATTACAGGCACACGCCTCCATGCCCAGCTAATTTTTTGTATTTTTAGTAGAGACAGGGTTTCACCATCTTGATCAGGATGGTCTCGATCTCTCGACCTCGTGATCCACCCACCTCGGCCTTCCAAAGTGCTGGGATTACAGGCTTGAGCCACTGCGCCCGGTTTTTTTTTTTTTTTTTTTTTTTTTTTTAGACAGAGTCTCGCTCTGTTGCCCAGGCTGGAGTGTAGTGGGACAATCTCGGCTCACTGCAATCTCTGCCTCCCGGGTTCAAGCGATCCTCCTTCCTCAGCTTCCAGAGTAGCTGGGATTACAGGTGCACGCCTGTATTTTTAGTAGACGTGGGGTTTCACCATGTTGGCCAGGCTGGTCTGGTCTCAAACTCCTGACCTCAGGTGATCCACCCGCCTTGGCCTCCCAAAGTGCTGGGATTACAGGCATGAGCCACCGCGCCCGGCTGAGCTGTACTGATAGTAACTGTCTATCTCAATCATGGTTCATCCCAGCCACGTGACCTTCAGCAGACTATCCCCACATTTCCATTTTCATTTTTTTCCCTTTAAAGTATAGGCAAAATCATGCCATCCTCCTGAGTTTGGTAAGTATCAGATAACTTACATGAAGCATCTAGGACATGGCCCAGAACAGGGCTTGGCCTTAATCAAGGGCATCTGTTACATGTATATTTCAAAGATAACATTGTTCCATTTATTGTTATTAATTTCAGCCTCAAAGGCAAGGCTGCAGGAGGGTCTGCTTGACCCACCTATAGCTGTGCTGTTTAGGAAGGTCATGGCTGACCGTTAGTATGCACATATTTATATGTCTGCGTCCATACATCGGACCACATCTGTATGTCTGTGTAGATGCAGAGGGAATGCTTTTCATTCCCAAAGAACCAAGCAGTCGGGAGGTGTCGGGACAGTGCCTGGCTACATGCTTTGGGACCCAGTCATCCAACGGTTGTCTGCTCAGGAATCCCCGCTGGCTGCTGGCTGTAGGGCCAGGCAAAGGCATAACCCAGCTCTGCCCGCCTGTCTGAAATCTCAGCATCTCCACTGAGGACCACTGGAGCCTGTTCTAAGGCACCTCAGTGTCCCCTGCAGGGCCTACCAGGGAATCTCACACACACTAAGGTGTTCAAGCATTTGCTCTAGAGTATGAAAGCCTGTAACTCTGCTTTTGCTCACATTTGAGAGAATGAATTCCATACATTTATTTCTTATATCTTGTGAGAAGCCATGTGCGTATTTGGCCTGATGGGCTGAAAGTTCTTGAGTTGGTAAATGCGTTGCACTTTTTTTTTTTCTTTGAGACAGGATCTTGCCCTGCCACAGGATCTTGGCTCACTGCAGCCTTGACCTCCCAGGCTCTAGCAATCCTTTCGCCTCAGCCTCCCAAGTAGCTTGGACCACAGGCATACCTCACCACACCAAGCTAACTTTTATAATTTTTGTAGAGACAGAGTTTCACCATGTCACCCAGGCTGGTCTCAAACTCCTGGGCTCAAGTGATCCTCCTGCCTCGGCCTCCCAAAGCGTGGGGATTACAGGCATGAGCCACCATGCCTGGCCCTGTGTTTCATTTCTAGTTCCTCCTATGATCCATCAGTGGTGTCTGCCTGGAGTAGGGAGACACCACTGATGGATCATAGTAGGAACTAGAAGGAAGGGTTCTGAGGCTCAGTGGGGAAACGCGATCCATTAGTTTTGTCTGCCGTGGGTATGAGATGAGGAGGAATGATATGTTTGCGATGTATTTACTCTCCCTGGTCTTTAAACTCATGGGCAGTGCCGTCCACCCGTCACCGCTGCTCAAGCCTAGCGGAATTTTAACCTGAAGGAACTATTCAGTCTTCTTCCCCGCCTCTGTTAAAACTCTGGTGTCTAGGCCCAGGTAGGTTCCAATGCCTAAGCTTTTCTCTTACCTCCATCCCTTATTTTTCTCCCAATATTCAACACATAGTAAAACCTAATAAAAGAGTGAGAAATGGACAAATGATGGTGGGATGGATAAAAAGGTGGAACGCAGGTGGGTGGGCTGATGGGTGAGTTAATGAAAGGGTCTGAATAGAACTGAACTATGGATGTATGGGTAGATAGAGAGACGGGAGGCTGGATGATTATGTAGAGGGGTATGTGGGTTTTGGATGGCTTAATGACTAGATTAGAGATGGACAGTGTCCTGGGTTTACAAGTGGATGAGAGGATTTGTAGATGGTTGATCACTGGATCAATGGATGGATGGACAGAAGTATGGGAGTTTTAGATGGATGGCTGGCTAGCTGGTTGGCCAGGTAGATTAGCGGATCCACAGGAGACCTGATTCGTGGGTGGGTGGGTGAGTGAATGGATGGATGGATGGAGTCATGGGTTCCTGATAGATGAATGGGTGAATAGAAGGATGGATGGATAGATGGAGAGATCCATGAATAGGTTGTAGAAGGCCTGGTTCATGGACAAGATGGATAAAATACGGATGGCTGAATGGGAAAATGAATCTATTGATGGATTCATGGATGCATTGTGTGTTGGTGGAAGACCTCATTCATGGACGGGTGGATTCATAGATGAACTGGCAAGTGAATCTTGAGTTGGTTGGTAGAAGACCGGATTCATGGAAAGACGAATGTAAGGATGGATGAATGGATGGATAGGTGGATAAATGGATACATTCATGGGCGAAAGAGGAAAGAAAGGAGGGAAGAAATTCCCGCCTCCCTCACCACCCTCTCCTTCTCCCTCCCTCACTCACTGGCTGGCCTTTCTGACCGTGCTGAATTGGGGGCAATCAGCCTTCAGGGCCCCCAGAGCAGGTGTCTGTTGGAGTAAAATCTTGGTAAGACTGTCTTGGAGGTGCGGTGACTGGCCCCTTAAAGACAAACAGGCCACATCTGGCATGAATGGGCAGGTGTCCCGCCCAGGAAACATCGATGCAACCTGGTCCCCACCAAGAAGGAGACTGCCCCTTACCACAGGTCTGGGAGGAAAGAGCGGTTGGGACGCTGCGGAGCCCCCCGGCAGTGCTCGAACACATCCCTTTGATGTTGCGGTGCTGAGGATGCTGGAGCCAGATGCGGGAGGTAACAGGGTGAGCATCGGCTGGGGGACGTCCTTCCTAGGACGACGAGGAGCCGGAGCCACTGAGTGGGGCCTGCCTCGGGCCGATGGCAGACTCGCCCTCAAGGAGAGGTTGCGAGGGCTCTGAGATACCCGGCTAACACTAGCGTCCTTCTGAGCCTGAGTGGTGGGGGGGGTGGGTGCGGGGACACAGGGCCCACCCCCTACCCCCGGAAATGCCCCGGGCCCGCCCCCGGGGCCCTGCGGGGCCTCACTCGGTGGCTCGGGCTCCTCGTCGGCGCACTTCTCCTGGAGCTGGTGCAGGAACTCGCGGAACCTGCTGGGGAGGAGCTCTCCGAGGAAGGCGCCCAGGAAGCTGGGGTCCTCCCTGGCCACGCCCCTCCAGGGGCGCTCGCGCTCGCCTGGCCCGGGCTGCCTGGGCGCCGATGCCCGGGACGCGCCGTCCGAGAGCAGGGGCGGCAGCAGCAGGGACCGCAGCAGCCCCCGCTTCCCCGCCGCCCGCTGGGTCGCGGTGGGCAGAGCGGGCAGGCGCGGCGGGGGGCTCCCGACGCCCACCCCGGGCTCCGCGTCCCCTTCCGGCCACCACGCGGCGCCGCCCCGCGGGATCCTCGAGCCCCCGGAGCCCCGCGCGCCCTGGGCCGCTCGGAGCGGGGGCGGGGTCAGCTTGGGCAGCCGCGGGTGGCAGCGTCGGAAGTCGCCGTCGCCAGGGGGCCCCTTGGGCGCCACCTCCTGGGCCCCTGGGCGAGGGCGACGCCGAAACATGCTGGGCCTCGCGTTCAGCTCACCGCACCCTCAGCGCGCGTGGGTGGGGGGCGCCGGGTGAGGTGGGGAGGGCATAGTCCGGCCCCGGGCCATAGTGCCCCGGGCGGGGCAGCGCAGCGCGGTTCGGGGTGAACGCCACCGGCCCGGCGGACAGCGAGCGAATTCGGCCTAGAGCTCCCTGAGCCTCTTGTCTCCTCACCTGTAAAATGGTGACGGCAAGGGTAGACAACTTTGGGGGTTGCTGTGACGTTTAAATGAGCAAGTACATGCCAGTCCAAAACAGCAAGCTCGGAACAGTGCCAGTCACGCTGGCCAAGCGTACACAGAGACTAGCTGCCATTCTTAGTGTTTAAAAGTTATTATTGGCCGGGCGCTGTGGCTCACGCCTGTAATCCCAGCACTTTGGGAGGCCGAGGCGAGCGGATCACGAGGTCAGGAGTTTGAGACCATCCTGGTCAACATGGTGAAGCCCTGTCTCAACTAAAAATACAAAATGTTAGCCTGGTGCGGTCGTGGGCGCTTGTAATCCCAGCTACTCAGGAGGTTGAGGCAGGAGAATCCCATGAACCCAGGAGGCGGAGGTTGCAGTGAGCCGAGATAATGCCATTGCACTCCAGCCCTGGCGACACTGCGAGACTCTGTCTAAAAAAAAAAAAAAAGTTATTTAGGATTTAGTCCCAGCTCCACCACTTCCTAGCTTTGTAACTTTGGGCAAGAGCAAGCCAAATCACTTCTCCCTGCCTTCTCTGGGGGCTCTGGTCTGCAGAATGGGGCTAACAGCAGCACCTGCTTCTTTGCAGCAGTGAAATGGCATCACCGTTGGTAGAAAGCACTTAGCTTGCATTGTGTGTGTTCAGATCGTGGAAGCTGTGACCGTCATGAGCACTCTACTGGGAATTAGGAAACCTGGAACCAGATTGAGGGAAGAGAGACCTGCAGCCTCCCAGCCCTGGTGGTGCCTCTGAGACCCCTGGGTGGGGAGCCTGAAAGAACAGATGACTTACCCCCAGCCCCCATGCTGATTCAGTAGGTCTCTGGTGCAGCTAAGACACTTTTGGTGGTTGTTGTTAAAGAGATGAGGTCTTGCTAAGAGGGGGTCTTGCTGTCGCCCGGACTGGAGTACAGTGACACCGTCATAGCTCACTGCAGCCTCAAATTCTTGGGCTCCAGTGATCCTCCCGCCTCAGCCTCTTGAGTAGCTGGGACTACAGGCACACACCAGCATGTCCAGCTAATTTTTGAATTTTTTGTAGAAATGGGGTCGAAATTTTTTGAATTTATGTTGCCCAGGCTGGTCTTGAACTCCTGGGCTCAAGTGATCCTCCTGCCTTGGCCTCCCAAAGTGCTGGGATCACAGGTGTGAGCCCCCACTTCCAGCCAAGACACAGACTTTTAACGAACTCCCCCTTTGGGAGGCAGAGCCCCAGTCCTTCTCCCAGCTCTGACACTGGGTCTCTGAGCCTGCTTCCTCCCACCACACCCCACTCCCAGATTGTTGTCAGCTCTTAGCTGGCTCCTGGGCAGTGCCACACTCACCCTGGTGGGCTTCTGGACAGGATTAGAGACGGTCCTGTGAGTTTAGAGCTTTCTGCAGGCAAGCTAACCCTTGAGAGAGTCCATCATCCCTGCCTGGTGCCTCTCCCAGCCCCTCCCTGCTGCCTCTGGGCTGCCTCAGGGCCATTGTGATCCGCCACCTGAGGAGCAGTGGGCACTGAGGCCTGGGGGCTGAGGGTGGGGCTATTGTGCCCTGGATAGCTTGGCCGAAGCTACTCGGGGCACTGGGACTCTGAGTAGGGCAGCCAGGCCTACCCCTTCCAGATCTGGGAGGCTCGGGCTGGGTGGCTCTGGAAGTAGAACTTCCACCCCAAGACCAGGCAGTCAGAATACAATGGACCTAGAAATTAACAGACCCAGCCGGGCTTGGTGGCTGACGCCTGTAATCCCAGCACTTTGGGAAGCCGAGGCGGGCGGATCACCTGAGGTCAGGCGTTCCAGACCAACCTGGCCAACATGGCAAAACCCTGTCTCTACTAAAAATACAAAAATTAGCCAGGTGATGGTGGTGTGTGCCTGTCATTTCAGCTCCTCGGGAGGCTGAGGCAGGAGAATCGCTTGAATCTGGAAGGCGGAGGTTGCAGTGAGCCAAGATCACGCCATTGCACTCCAGCGTGGGTGACAGAGTGAGACTCCCTTTCAAGAAAAAAGAAAAGGCCGGGCGCGGTGGCTCAAGCCTGTAATCCCAGCACTTTGGGAGGCCGAGGCGGGTGGATCACCAGGTCAAGAGATCGAGACCATCCTGGTCAACATGGTGAAACCCCGTCTCTACTAAAAATACAAAAAATTAGCTGGGCATGGTGGCGCATGCCTGTAATCCCAGCTACTCAGGAGGCTGAGGCAGGAGAATTGCCTGAACCCAGGAGGTGGAGGTTGCGGTGAGCCGAGATCGCGCCATTGCACTCCAGCCTGGGTAACAAGAGCGAAACTCTGTCTCAAAAAAAAAAAAAAAAAAGAAAAAGAAAAAAGGAAAAAACGAAACCAAGGCCTGAGTGCTAGGTGTGCTCCTTGCTATTGAGATGTCATTTGTTTCCGGCAGTCTCAGTTGACAGAACAAATAAATTTCTGTATATACTATCATACACACACATATCTATAGATTTTTTTTTTTTTTTTGAGATGGAGTCTTGCTCTGTCATGAGGCTTTAGTGCAGTGGCACTGTCTTGGCTCACTGCAACCTCTGTCTCCAGGGTTCAAATGATTCTCCTGCCTCAGCCTCCCAAGTAGCTGGGATTACAGGCACCTGCCACCATGCCGGGTTAATTTTTTTATTTTCAGTTGAGACGTGTTAGCCAGGATGGTCTTGATCTCCTGAACTCGTGATCCGCCCAGCTCGGCCTCGCAAAGTCCTAGGATTACAGGTGTGAGCCACTGTGCCCGGCCCCATCTATAAATATTTCTATAAGTAACCATCTGTACTTATATTAAGCTCCAATGCCATGCTGACATCTCCAACTGTACTTGATTATGCACGTCATTTGAGACTCTGTCTCAAAAGAAAAAAGGAAATTAACAGACCCACTTTCAAGTCCATGGTGTGCTGTTTTGCTGTGTGATGCTGGACAAGTGTCTTCTTTCTCAGGGCTCCCTGGGCCTTAACTGTGACTCTTGGCTGGGGGAGGGCTGAAATGAAGCTCATGGTATTGTGAAGCTGGGGTGGGAGACAAGGGTCATTTAGACGAGTATTTCACTGGTGTGGCATAGTTTTATAATTTGGAAATGCAGAAATGACTTTGTAATTCACATAACGGAGTGATTCACTAGAGGACGCATCGCCAAAGACGTGTTCTGTTAATGCTTCTCACCAGGGATGGAGGGACACCCTTTCTTGGAGAGCTAGAATTTTGAGTGGAGGAGGGAGATATTTTTGTTTGTATTTAATGGGTATGTGACTTTTCTTAATGGCTGTGAAACACCAGATTAACTAGATGGTTTCTAAGGAGCCCTCCAGCCCTTGTACTCTGCAAACATTCATCAAGCAACTACTATGTGCTAGGCTTGGGAATTCAGAGATGCCGGAGGCTTTGAGTTCAGGGAGCTGGCTGGCCCTGGGAAGGCCTTGGAGCATGGGTGTGGGAAGGGGCTTTCTCTTCTGTTGACAGGAAATAAGATAGGACTGGATTTTTAGGCATGCAGCGCTTGGATCAGAGCTGCCCGCTGACAGAGGATGCCAGACACTTCAGCAACTGAACTTGTCCAGGATCAATCCCCTTTGCTTTACAGATATAGAAAATGAAGCTGAGAGAGGGGCTCAGACTAGGGGTAGCAGTTGTGACGCTACAATAATCTAGAGCGGATGCCAAGTAATATGCACATACACAGATTCTGGGGACTCAGTGCAGACGGGACTTTTTGGCATCGCCTTCCTCCCGTAGCTTTCACTACATTTAGAGCAAACGCACTTTAAACACCTTCCGTGTGCATCGCCCAGGGGAAGGCATTGCAAATCTAACACCAGGATTTGATTGATTGATTGATTGAGACGGAGTTTCACTCTCGTAGCCCAGGCTAGAGAGCAATGGTGAGATCTAGGCTTACTGCAACCTCCACCTCCTAGGTTCAGGTGATTCTCCTCCCTCAGCCTCCTAACTAGCTGGGACTACAGGCCTGCACCACCATGCCTGGCTAATTTTGTATTTTTAGTAGTGACGCATTTTGCCATGTTGGCCAGGCTGGTCTCAAACTTCTGACCTCAGGTGATCTGCCCACCTCGGCCTCCCAAAGTGCTACGATTACAGGCGTGAGCCACCGCACCCAGCCAACACCAGGATATTATTATTATTATTATTATTATTATTATTATTTGAAATGGAGTTTCACTCTTGTTGCCCAGGCTGGAGTGCAGTGGTGCGATCTTGGCTCACTGCAACCTTCACCTCCCCGGTTCAAGCAATTGTTCTGCCTCCTGAGTAGCTGGGTCTACAGGTGCCTGCTACCACGCCCAGCTAATTTTTGTATTTTTAGTAGAGATGGGGTTTCACCATATTGGCCAGGCTGGTCTGGAACTGCTGACCTCGTGATCCGCCCACCTCGGCCTCCCAAAGTGGTGGGATTACAGGCGTGAGCCATTGCACCCTGTCAACACCAGGATATCATTAATAGTTTAAGACAAATAAACTTAAGATGAATAGTGTCCTTATAACAGTTCCATTTCCTGAGAACCCACTCTAGGTGCTGAGCTGAATGAAGGCCTGATAAGCAATGTCCCACAAGTTTAACCCTCAGAGTATCAGAAGTGAAGTAATGATTACATTGCTTAAATTCTTCTTCTGGCAGGAGACTGAAGCTCTGAGATGTTAACAGTGTTTACTTACCTGCAAGCTCCTGATTCCATCACTGCCGCCTCGGAGATAGCTCCAGAGTTTCGGTGATGGGAGGAGCCTAGGGAAAGGCCACCCTTTTGGAATGGAAAGTTCATGGGCTTGCTCTGCTTATTTCTGGTGGGAATCCCATGGCACTGCCAAGAGCATTTCTTTTTATTTTATTTAGTTTTGGGGGGTCGGTATTATTTTAAGATGCTACTGGAGATGGGTGGATTTGAGGACCAATGGCTCTTTTTTCTCCTTTTACTCAAAACACGCACAACACTTCGTTTTTAGAAGTCCAGCCAGCAGCCTCCAAATGAATTTTGTCCGTGCTGGGGACAGGGACAGGGCAGTGCTGTGGCTCTCTTTAGTCCTGGAGGTCCTTCCAGATTCTCCAAAGTTAAGTTAGTCAAGTTTTGAGCTGTAACCTGTGTTGGGTGCAGTAGCTCACGCCTGTAATCCCAGTACTCTGGGTGGCCAAGGTGGAAGCCTCGTTTCAAGATCAACCTGGGCAACAGGGTGACCGTCCCCCCCCCCCCCGCCGTCGCCAATTTTTTTCCTTCTTTTTTGAAGAAGTCAAGTTAGGCTGGACACAGTAGCTCACGCCTGTAATCCCAGCACTTTGGAAGGCAGAGGCGGATGGATCACTTGAAGTTAGGAGTTCAAGACCAGCTTGGCCAACATGGTGAAACCCCATCTCTACCTCTAGTAAAAATACAAAAATTACCTGTGCGTGGTAGCACATGCCTGTAATCCCAGCTACTTGGGAGGCTGAGGCAAGAGAATCGTTGGAACCTGGGAGGTGGAGGTTGGAGTGAGCCAGTATCATGCCACTGCACTCCAGCCTAAAAAAAAAGAAAAAAAGTTAAACTATTTTTTAAAAGAAGTTGGCTGGGCGCAGTGGCTCACGCCTGTAATCCTAGCACTTTGGGAGGCCGAGGTGGGCGGATCACAAAATCAGGAGTTCCAAACCAGTCTGGCCAACATGGTGAAACCCCGTCTCTACTAAAAAAATACAAAACTTAGCCGGGCGCGGTGGCCAGTGCCTGTAGTCCCAGCTACTTGGGAAGCTGAGACAGAATTGCTTGAACCCGGGAGGCGGAGGTTGCAGTGACCCGAGATCGCGCCACTGCGCTCCAGCCTGGGTGACAGAGCAAGACTCCGTCTCAAAAAAAAAAAAAAAAAAAAAAAATTCGGAGTCCACGGGGCGTGGCGAGCTGAGCGGGGGGGCGGGGCCAGGCGTGGTCCCGCCCCGGAGACCGGAAGTGACGTAAGCGGACAAAGGCAGCGCGCGCCGCGAGCTGTCGCATCTGGTCGTGGTGTGGCGGAGCTGCGGTTGGCTTGTGGGTTTTCGCCGCCGCCTTCCTCCATTCCTCTTCCGCATCCTCTTCTCTCGGTCCCGGGAGCCCCTGCCCGTAGTGAGTAGCGCAAGGCGATGCGACGGGGAGGCAGCCGCCGGGAGCGGGGAGGCCGCGACCCCAACTGCTTCGGCGCCCCGGGGGGCCCCCCCGGCTCGTCACGTGACCCGGCGCGAGCGCGCGAGCCGGCCCGGACCCCACGTGCGCGTCCCCAAGAGGTCCGCGGGCCGCACCTGGCAGACTACGGAGCGGTCCACGAGTCGGTACAGGAAGAAAGTCGACGCGCCCAGAGCCCTGGCAGGGCACTCCCCCCACCCCGATCCCCAGACGGCAGCAAATCCCTTTCTCTGAGCCTGTTTCTCCTCCGAGAAACGGATTTGGAGAGCGCCCATTTGGAGGATGGGTGGGAGGAATCGGTAGAATGCCCAGTTCAGAGCCTGGCACAGTTAAGTGCCCGTTGCATAGAAGTTGCTGTCGTATTTAACCTTGGGGTCCTGCTTCAGCGCCAGCCTGACACAGGTGCAGCTCGAATGACAGCTGTCGCCAAGAGCCCTTGCGGCCAAGGTCAGCCCGTCTGCGGGGAGGCTGCCATATCGAAATGCCCAGGCTTTGCTGCCCACCAACTGTGTGATCTCTCCCTCCAGACTTTGCTTTTTCCACTGTACTATAAGGGATTGCCACAGCTGGTGTCAGAGGCCTTGACAGCGGGGAGGGACAGTGTAACCGGTAATTGTGGTGTGTAGAATGATTGCCAGTGAGATGCGATGAGCCTCTGAGAGGAATCAGGGCTGGGATAAGGAGCCTGGATTCCCTCCTTAATTCTGTTCTCGGCTTCCTGTTTGTATGTTTAAAGACACATCACTTCCTTTAGTGTGCTGGTTTTACTCTCTGTAACATGGGGACTAGGGGGGGTTGGAAATATGCATGGAGTGGTTTGGTGGAGGCCGGAAGCCCTAGGATCACAAGGATAGCATCTAAAAAATCTTGGTGGGGGTTCTGTGCTTTCTGGCAGAGGAAGCTCTCCCCTCTCCTGCTGATTTGCAGAGTTGTTTGAGTGTGCTGAATTGGCCACGCAGCATACCAGTAATAATCCCTAGGATGTCCAGCAGTACAGTTTCTGTGGCATTCTAAAGCAGTTTTCGCATAGGTTCCTCACAGTGGGCAGGGTTGACAAGGATCTCATCTGACAGAGATTTCCAAGCTCAAGAGAGAATATGTGCCTGGCACTGTGCAAAGCAGTTTCAGCTTTTCATATGCACTTTTAATCACAGCCTTTCTGTAAAGTCCCATCTTACAGCTAACCTGAGGAATGGTGAGGTTTAATGTCTTATCTGAGCTTACACAGCCAGTGAGCAGAGCTGAGATTTAGCTCGGGTTCATCTGACTCCATCAGAGGCTTTGTTGGTTTTTAAACATATCCCCGATCTTGTCTTTTTCCTTCCCTTCGTCCCTTTCTTTCTTTTTCTCAGAGCGCTCTGCCATTGTGGCCGGCTGCTGTCCACAGAGATGCAAGGAGGATGGGCTCCGTCTACTAGGTTGTGGGAGGGTGCAGGTAACTTTCAGGCAGGCTTTTCCATAGAAATTTACATGAGGACGATGAGATGAGAATGACGCGGGTGACAGTTTCAGCACCCTTTTCTTCTGTGGGTCCTGGGAGCAGAGACGCAGTAGCTGGACGGCTGCCTGGGTCTGAACACCTTGGCAGGGAGGGGGCGGCAGCGGCCAGGTGACGGTGAAGGATGTAGGATCACATTTACAGGCTGAGCAGGCATCTACCAGGCATGAGGGGTTTCTCTTCCTCTCTCAGCTAACCCAGAGTGCACACCAAGCCAGGCTGTGCCCTGGCCCCCTCCCAGGCCGCACAGCCCCATGGCGTCTCACTGTGCTCCAGAGTGTAGCAGGACCTCCTGCGGTCTTCTCTGTTCTCTCTGACTCTTAGGAACCTCCTCCTGCCTCACTCCAATCCGGACACCAGGAGGCGGGATGTAGCCAGGACCTCAGAAATCACGTTTATTCATGAATCGGCTCTCAGGGCAGATGTCGAAGCAAGGCAGGCGATTTCCCGGCCTAGATGTGCCTCCCCTGGCGTGTTTCTAGAATGTGCGTGTCAGTGGCATTCTTGTAAATTTGATTATTCAGGGGACCTTGACATTTAAAGGAATCATGTTACAAGGCTTTTGGTAAAGCACAAAATTACATTGTCGGTAACAGCCTTCAGTATTTCCAGCTTTGAATGGCTGGACTTTCGTCTGTAGGATTTTCTCAGAAGTGAAAAATGGCTTTAGCTGCACAAAGCCCATTCTTTCATTATTCAGCAGCCAATTAGCAAATGCCCACCTGGTATTTGGGCTAATGGTGTACAAGGTAATGTCTCTGCCACCGGGAAGCTTGCATTCTGAGAGAGGAGGCAGACAGAGTACAGCCTGGTAAGTGTTTGGCCCCAGATTTATTCTGTTCATCTGCTCAGAAGTGAAACTCTCTGTGTTTCGTGGGAAGCTAGAGCAGCTGCGATGATAAATCTCAATGTTGCCACTGCTCTCTAGGAGCTCCCAGGCCAGGCGGGAGACAGGATTGAATACAGAACCTTCAGTTCGCCAGGACTGGTGGGCGGAGGGGAGGGAGACAGGGTTGCTGTGTCACCAGGCTCCAGTCTAAATGGATATTGTGCTAGCATGGTGGAGAAGAGAAGTATTTCTTTTTTTTTTTTTTTTTTGAGACGGAGTTTCGCTCTTGTTACCCAGGCTGGAGTGCAATGGCGCGATCTGGGCTCACCGCAACCTCCGCCTCCTGGGTTCAGGCAATTCTCCTGCCTCACCCTCCTGAGTAGCTGGGATTACAGGCACATGCCACCATGCCCAGCTAATTTTTTGTATTTTTAGTAGAGACAGCGTTTCACCATGTTGACCAGGATGGTCTCGATCTCTTGACATCGTGATTCACCCACCTCGGCCTCCCAAAGTGCTGGGATTACAGGCTTGAGCCACCACGCCCGGCCTGTATTTCATTTTTTAATCTTCGTCTTTAATTTTCTCAGCTACCAAGCGTTTTTGTTTTTTGAGACAGGTTCTCGCTCTGTTATCCAGGCTGGACTCAAACTCCTGAACTCAAGCAGTCTTCCCACCTCAGCCTCCCACAGTGCTCAGGTTATAGGCATGAGCCACTGCACCCAGCAGGAGAGTAGTTCTGAATGCCATCCTCTCTGGGTGACTGATGGAGGGCTGTGACGTGGTTGCTACAGTGCCTACTGGCAGAGGGGCAGGCAGCGCACTTGACCTGAGTCCTTACCGCATCAGACCATAGCCACGTAAGCCGCCAAACCCAGCTACATAGTGACATTCAGGTTGGTGGCCCTTTTTCCTGTCGCCCACCCTGGCACATCTAGCAGTCTTTAGGATTGGCAGTTCTGGTGGAAACAAGAATTCATTCTTCTGTTTTTTTTCGATACAATGTTTCACTCTTTCCCAGGCTGGAATGTGGAGGCACAATCATGGCTCACTGCAGCCTCCACCTCCCAGGCTCAAGTGATCCTCCCACCTCAGCCTCCCTAGCAGCTGGGAGGCACTGGAATTTGTGTGTTTTTGGTAGAGACAGGGTTTCTAAGCCGCGGGCTGCCTTCTCCTTCCAGCAGCATTGTTCGCAGTGCTGGGGCACCAGTGCGGGAGCTTTGTGGTCAGCTTGAGGAAAGGGTGTATGTGGAATATTTAGAACCAAAGTCCTTCCCAGCCTGCTGCCCCAGAGGGCTCCCTGATAGGGGCAGGGATTGCAGCCTTTCTTCATTATGGCCCAAACTCTTGTGCGTGAACAGGGAAGTGAGGGGTCAGTCTGTGAGCTACACATTCTTCTCTTCAAGAATCTGAAGAGGGAAGCCAGACACAGTGGCGTACACCTGTAATCTCAGCTACTCAGGAGGCTGAGCAAGGAGGATGGCTTGAGTCCAGGAGTTTGAGGCCAGCCCAGGCCGCATAGCGAGACCCCATCTCAAAAAACTCCAGAATCTGAAGAGAGATTTAAGTGGCTTCTCTTTGGGCACAGCCAAAGGGTTCTAAGGGTGAGAAGACCCAATCACAGATGTAAGAAGAGCTGAAACCTGGTAGGGCACACGGTCTCATCAGCTCTCTTCTGGTACCTCAGAAAGCTGGTGTGTGGCTTCGTGAAGAAAGCTCAGATCTGCTGAAGGAGCCAGGCATGGGGATGGAGAGGGGGCCCTGGCCCGTTTGTTCTCACAGCCACAGCGGGCCTTTCCCTGGTGCCCCCACTGGCTGGCTGGGTCTCCGGAAAAGGCTGACCAGTTACGGAAGCAGAAGTGCGTCCATTAGAGAGATTCTTGAGCTGGCTGGGCGGATGGGCCTGCTGCTTCTGGAAAGTTCCTTCTCTTTTTTGGGGGGTTGGAGAGGGGTGGGGGTGAGAGACAGAGTCTGGCCCTGTTGCCCAGGCTGGAGTACAGTGGTGTGATCTCGAACTTCCACCTCCTGGGTTCAAACAATTCTCCTGCCTCAACCTCCTGAGTAGCTGGGATTACTGGCACCCACCACCATGCCTGGCTAATTTTTGTATATTTAGTAGAGATGGGGATTCACTATGTTGGCCAGGCAGGTCTCAAACTCCTGACCTTGTAATTCTCCCACCTCGTCCTCCCAAAGTGCTGGGATTACAGGTGTGAGCCTTCATGCCCGGCCAGAAAGTTCCTTCTCTTTCAGGACAGGTTCCGAATACACCATTGCGCTGAGGGCTAACAAGAAATGCGGCCAATTCAAGTTTTTGGCCCGCACCCGCCAGTAATCCCAACACCTTGGGAGGCCAAGGCGGGTAGGTCACTTGCAGCCAGGTGTTTGAGGCCAGCCTGGGCAACATGGCAAAACTCCATCTCTTCAGAAAATAAAAAATCAGCCAGGTGTGGCTGTGTGTGCCTGTAGTCCCAGCTACCCTGGAGGCTGAGATGGGAGGATCACCTGAGCCATATTGTAGTCTGGGTGACAGAGCGAGACCCTTTCTCAAAGAAAAAAAAAGAAGAAAATTCTCCAGCTTTGCTTTGTGTTTTCGTTCCCTTCTCTTGGGTCGTGGTCTGTGAGCCGCTTCCCGAAGGCCTCGTGCTCCTCAGGGCGTTGTCCCGTGTTCCTCTGCCTCCTTCTCTTGAAGCCCCTGAAGCATCCCTGGTCTTAGGGTTTTCAGCTTTTCGTTGTGTTTGAGGACCGCACAGAGTTCGGCATGTGGACTCTCCCGTGTGGACCCTGTAGCTCCAGGGGTCAGGCAGACAGTCTTGGACCTCCGATTTGTCAGCTGTGGCGATAGGCGTTTGCTAGAAACCCCCTGCTCTCCTGAGGTGCGGAGGCAGCGTGTGCAGGGCGGTGAGCTCCAGCTCCCAGGCGGCCGCGGGTCTTCCGCAGAGGGTATTTCCCCTTTACCGTGGGTTGATCAGGATGGAGCAGCAGCTGCTGCTGGAATTCCTACCTACCACTCCTGCTCTTTGTCCTGTGTCAACTGGCACGGCCACTGCCATCCCCACTCTGCCTCCCTTCAGATCAGGCCCCGGCACCGTGGGAAACACATCAGCTGAGAGTTGGTGCCCGGCGTGCCCTCGGACTGCCGTCATCCAGGCCCCGTCTGCTCTTCCGAGCTCCTTCCACGCTGCCCTCCCCCTTCCACTCTCTGCCCTCTGATGGCCCACGCTGTCACGGCCACTCCCTCATGCCCCACCCCTCCAGCACTCCCCATCCTTTGATGCCCGGCTGGCTGCCTCCTCCAGGGTGCTGCCCCGTCTGCTGTTCGGGAAGGATTCCTCTGCCCTTTGACTTTCCTCTGCACTTGATGGCTCCGTGAGAATCCTTCTATTTCTGCTCTGTATTTTCCTTCCCTTTTTTCCTTGTCTGTCCTTCTGGACTGGAGCTCTCAGGGGGTCTTGGCAAGCCTCAACGCCACTGGAATAGCACCTAAGCGTGGCGCGTCTTGGTGACAGCACTGTGCCTGGGGGAAGCCTCTGGCAGGCTGGCCACCCGTGGAGCCTGGAGCTGTCATCCTGTCCTGAAAGGCAAGGTGGGCCTGGGCTCTGCTGCCAGGACCCAGCCGAGGCTTTCTACGTCCCTCCTTCTGCCATGGCAGCAGCCTCCTCGTCCCCTGCCGTCCCCACCGCTGCCAGCACAGGCTTCAGACGCACCCATCTTCCTGGGCCACTCTGCTGAGCCTCAGGGTGGTTCGAGCTCGTCGCCCTGTTCGGTGCAGTTGAAGTTGCTAGAGTTGAGCTGTGAGACCAGGAGCTTGCGGCGCGAGGGCTGACCGTCCTTCCCTCCGGGAGCCGTGCCGTTCCTGCGCCTGCTTTGCCTACTCTTGCCCGTCCACCGGCTTCAGCTTCCACATCACCTCCTCATGGAGGCCTTCCCTGCTCCCCACACCCGTGTCCACTTCCTCCCGGTGGGCTCTGCTGGCCTCCCGGCAGGTGTGGTTATATTTGTAATGTTGTTTTCTGCCTGGCTGTCTGCCTGGTTCACGGCCCGGCACCTGGCAGACTCCCCACTCCTCGCCAACGGAGGACTGGACCCCACGGCAAGTTGTTGCTGTGCTGGGAGCCGGAAGAAGGCAGGCGTGGGAACGTCCCCGGCCCTCCCAGGGTCACTGGTGCTCTCTGCTTTGTGGTCATCTTTACTGATCAGGGTTTTCTTTGCCCAGAAGCCACTGAGTCAGGTGCCATATAGAGCATGTCAAGAACTCGAAGCCAGGCCAGGCACAGTGGCTCACACCTGTAATCCCAGCACTCTGGGAGGCCAAGGTGGGAGAATCTCTTGAGGCCAGGAGTTCAACACCAACCTTTGTAATGTAGTGAGACCCTTTCTCTATAAAAAACATTAGCCAGGCATGGTGGCACACAACTGTAGTCCCAGCCGCTCCGGAGGGTGAGGTGGGAGAGTCACTTGAGCTCTGGAGTTGGAGGCTGCATTGAGCTATGATCATGCCACTGCACTCCAGAAAAAATGAAAATATTAAAAGAACTTGAAGCCAGGACTTGGGGTGGGTACTCTGTGTGCAAAACACAGAAGATACTGTTATCCAAGGGGTCGAAGCAGATTCGGGGATCCTGGACTTCCCCTGCACTGGGCAGGATGTGGGACTCGTGAAGCTGGTGTGAGCCTGGCCCTCTGCCCCGGGGGCCTTTCTGCCAGGTCCCTGGACCGGCTGACTCACACCCTCTTCCTTACCCAGGAGAGTCGCAGTTGCTGATCGTGGTGCTTGAGTGGAGCCGTGGTTGGTGACAGCATGACGAGTGAGGTGATAGAAGACGAGGAACAGTTCTATTCCAAGGCCAAGATGTACTGGAAGCAAATCCCGCCCACGGTGGACGGCATGCTTGGGGGGTATGGCCGCATCTCCAGCATCGACATCAACAGCTCCCGGAAGTTTCTGCAGAGGTTTTTGAGGGTAGGCAGGTCTGGCGTGCTCTCCAGGAGAGGCTGTGGCTCTGGTGGCACTGCCGTCTGTGTGGGATGCCACCTTTCACATGTAACACTGCAGGGCCATTGGCTATCTCTTGGTACCTACCCCAAGGTCTTGAGGAGCTGGGCTGGGTGGGCACACTGGAGTCTCTTCTAGATGGTGGACTTAGCCTCAAGGTTACCGGACAGGAGTCGGTTGTTAGGCAGAATTGAGGTGCCCGAATTGGGCAAACTTCTCTGCACCTGTTGGGTTTTGCCAGGGAGGAAAGCCCTGCTCTCCTGCCATGTCCACAGGTGCTTGGGCTGAGGGTGTTGGCCATTCTGGACGAAGACTCCTAGTTAAATGCCATGGTTTCCACCCTCCCCTCCACCCCCAGGCTTTTCTGTACCAGGCTGGGACCCCCAGGCCCGGAGCCTCCCACCTCCTTGTCTCACGGCTGGCACTGGAGGCTCTGTTCGCCACCTGCTCCACCCAGTGCCTCCCCCTCCATGTTCCTTCCCCGCACCCTGGTTTACCAGTTGCCCCGCCTCCATTTTCCCTGCTCTGCCCTGCCCTGCTGTCATTTACCTGGAGACTCAGGAGAGATTCATACACCTGTTCAAGTTATCACCTTCAAGTGGAAATGAGCCTTCATTTTAGACATATGTGGCCCAGGGCTGGGGCAGTGGCTCACTCCTGTAATCCCAGCACTTTGGGAAGTCAATGTGGGAGGATTGCTTGAGCCCAGGAGTTTGAGACCAGCCTGGACAACAGAGTGAGGCCCCGTCTCTACAGAAAACCCACCCCCCAAAAAAAGAAAGAGCTGGGCATGGTGGCACATGCCTGTAGCCCCAGCTCCTCGGGAGGCTGAGGTGGGAGGATGGCTGGAGCCCAGGACTCCAAGGCTGCCGTGAGCCATGATCGCCTCACTGCACTCCAGCCTGGACGACAGAATGAGATCCCGTCTCTCCAGAAAGTTTCAAAGATGAAGGAAGGTGTGGCCCAGCAGTGTCGCCTTCATGCTCGTCGTCTCAAATCAGGACTTGGTGCAAGCTGGCAGCCAGCACAGACCCCCACCAGTGCTCGGCTTGTGCAGAGTCCTGACTTGAGTCTAAGCCCCGGGGCTCCTGAGGAAGGGCCCTGTGTGCAGTGACAGGGTCCCTCTGGGTTACGTCCCTCTGATAGGTTATGTGCCTCCGCTTTTTAGGAAGGCCCGAACAAGACAGGAACTTCCTGCGCCCTGGACTGCGGAGCCGGCATTGGGCGGATCACCAAGCGGCTGCTCCTGCCGCTGTTCAGAGAGGTGGATATGGTCGACGTCACGGAAGACTTCCTGGTTCGAGCCAAGACTTACCTGGGGGAGGAGGGCAAGAGGGTGAGGAACTACTTCTGTTGTGGGCTCCAGGACTTCACCCCGGAGCCCGACTCTTACGACGTGATCTGGATCCAGTGGGTGATAGGTGAGGGTCCCGCCGCCCTTCCCTGCCCACCTGTACGTCTCCTGCCCCTCGGGTTCCCCAGAAGGTGTCAGGGACCGGGGCTCGGTGCTTCTGCAGCAAGTGGGCCAGTGAGGATTCCCCAGCCCCCCCACGCCCATGCCCACACGTGCCTCCCAGCACCAAGGAGACTCGGCCTGGAAGGTAGATTTCCTTTCCTCCAGCTTTTGCTTCATCCCTTTGCACGCAGTTTTTTGTTGAAAAAGTTTTAATGGCCAGTAACTTACACTGCGTTCAGAGAAGTGCAGGTGTTTCCTAAGGGTTTTATTTTTAGTAAGACGAAAAGTTTAAGCTTCGGTATCTAGCCCTGTACCCTCTTAGCCTAACGGCACACCTCGAGTGCTGTGCCCTGGGTTGCTGACCGGAGGCAGGCCACTCCTGAGGCGGCAGCACAGGCCTACTGTGGACACCCTAGGTCTGGCCTTGTATTTTGTGACCTCGGAGGCCTCTGTGGGGACTTCCCAGGGTGGAGAAGGTCATCTGTCTGGGAGCTCCTGCAATGCCAAACTCTACCCCGGGTTCACTCCTCTGATTGAAGCCTGGCTGGGGGCTGGGAGCTGGGGGTGGGTCATGGCGTGTAGGTATCAGGCAGGGCTCGGAAGTCACCCCGGCAAGTTAAGTTCTGGCTTGCTGTGTCTTTAGGGAGATGACCTCTGAATCAGTTTCCTCTTCTGTGGAATGGGGTTTAGTAAATCTGTCGGGACTGCTGAGAGCCAGCGAGGCCATGAGTGCACATAAAATGCTGGGTACCAGCGAAGGGCTGAGTGGGGCTGGGAGCTACATCCCGTCCAGTGGGCGACGTACGCTTGCATCGTGCCCGGTAACCTCGCCTCTGCCCTCCCCAGGCCACCTCACTGATCAGCACCTGGCTGAGTTCCTGCGGCGCTGCAAGGCCAGCCTCCGCCCCAACGGTATCATCGTCATCAAAGACAACATGGCCCAGGAGGGCGTGATCCTGGATGACGTGGACAGCAGCGTGTGCCGGGACCTGGACGTGGTCCGCAGGATCGTCTACAGCGCAGGCCTCAGCCTTCTGGCCGAGGAAAGGCAGGAGAACCTCCCTGACGAGATCTACCACGTCTATAGCTTTGCCCTGAGATGAGCTGGGGCTGGCAGGAGAAACTGAGGAACCACAGCTCGGGTGGGGGGAGCTGGCAGCTGGGCAAGATTCGGGCGCCATGCTGGTGGTTCATGAGTGTCAAGGCGCCACTAAATACAGCCGTCTGCCGTCCACTCATTATGCAGGCTTTTCTTCAGAAGGCAAGGTGGGACCTGGTGGGGAGGCTGAGGCAGGAGCCCAGGCCCTGCTGCCCTGTGAGATGGGGTTGGGTGGTAGGGGCTCCAGGTCTCCCAATGGGGGAATACGGTGGTCACACCAGTAGCCGATTTCCCGGGCCCCCAGCCTGGCCTTCCAGCCATGGGCCTGGCTGCCTGAAGAGGAAGGGAACAACCCCCAGCTTGGTTGCTGGGGACTTGAAGAAATGTGGTCTTTACCTAGGGGGAAGGACAGAGCTGGGCTGGTGGAACCCATGGGTGCTGCCCGATGGTGATGTGGTTGGGGTGCTCACATGGCAAGTCCTACTTGGCAGTGGAGACCTGGGGCCTTTAGAGCGTTACCGCAGCCTGCAGCAAGGGAAGATGCCCATAGCCTCACTCTTCTCTGGACTTGAGGCTGCTCCTTGGCAGGCATTTAAAGTAAAAAAATAAAGTGAGGCCTGGGCACAGGGGCTCACACCTGTAATCCCAGCACTTGGGGAGGCCAAGGTGGGCAGATCACCTGAGGTCAAGAGTTTGAGACCCGCCAGGCTAACGGGGTGAAACTCATCTACTAAAATACAAAAATTAGCCAGGCGTGGTGGCGGACACCTATAATGCCAGCTACTTGGGAGAGTGAGGCAGGAGGCAGGAGAATCACTTAAACCTGGGAGGCAGAGGTTGCAGTGAGCTGAGATCGCGCCATCGCACTCCAGCCTGGGCAACAGAGACTCTGTCTCAGAAAAAATAAAAATAAAATGGGCCCCCCGCAGTGTGGGGCCCTGGCCAGTCTAGAGTGGTGCTTCTTTGCAGGGACTTGAAAACGAACCCCAAACACAGCTTCTCCTCTTCCCTCCCCTTCCTTACCCGCTGCTGTGGGAGCCTTTATCCTGAACTGTGGAGGGCGGGGCAGAAACGTTACACGAGGACTGTTAAGGCCAAAGTCCGTTTAATCTTATAAATATATGTCATGTAGTCGCCTCAGTTATCCCCGGAGGCATTTACGTCATCCACAACGACCAACACGACCTAGAAGGGACTGAGGGCTCGCGGCTGGGCGGTACAGTGGGCTCAGCCTGCTCCAGAGTGAGCGCCTCACAGGAGACCCTTCAGAAGGCTGGCCCCAGCCTCGTGCTCATGATTGCTTTTTAGCGGAAGTCATGGTCGCGGAGGCCCTGGGTTTGGCACAAGCACAGCTGCCCCCAGAGCACAATTCTGGTGGGTGGGGCCCCAGCAGACCTGGCCCCAGAGCTACAGCAACCAGCAGGGGCCAGCTTGCCTTTCAATACCATGAAGACAAGCCTGTGGTGGTCCCTAGTGCCTTCTCCCCCAGAACCCACCAGACACACACTAGCAGAACCTGGAAGGAGAAGGGGCAGGGGTGAGGCCTTGGTGGCGGCCTGCGCAGGATGTGCCCCTGGCTTCCTTCCCTCCAGCTGTACTGCCACGCAACCGAGATCCCCGCAGCCCTGGGAACGTTGAGCCTTGATCCCGCCCAGCTTCTGCAAATGCCCTGGTGCTGCTCGCCGATTCAGAGGACATAAATACGACTTAAATCTAAGCCCTGTCCCTTTTCCCAACACGGGTGAGACTTGGAGTGCCGCTGGGGGAAGGGGCAGTGTCTGGAAGACACCGAGCCACACCACCACCAGAGTCATCACAGCCTCCGGCTCTGCCAGGCTGGCTTTTCTTGTGAAGGATCCAGTCTCTTCTCCCAGATCAAGAAAGACCCTCCACTAAAGTTGTCCCAGGTTTCACCAACAAGCTGACCTAAGCTGCCCACGTCCCCATTCCTGTAGCCTGAGACCTGTCAGATGTCATCTTCCACGGAGCCACTGTGCTCGCTAAGAAGGTACCACTTCAGCCTGTCGGGCAGAGGCAGGGCTCTGACCTTCACGTCCACAGGCCAAGGCTGAAGGCAGAGCCGGATGGACACACGGCACAGGTGCTTGAGGGGCGGCGGACGGCTCTCCAGCTGCCTCAGGGAGTAGTGGAGCGCCTGGATCTTTTCCGCCAGGCTGCCCACTGGGTGGATATCAAAGTTTTCAGGCAGCTGGAGTTTCTGAGAGTTGGTCACCATGAGGTCCAGGACAGTCTCAGCTTTGCGCAGAAGGTCCGCGTGGCTCTCGTCTTCCGTGCAGCCCGGGTGGGAACAGAGCCTCTCGAAGATGATGTGGAAGCCAGACCAGCAGGATGCACCGTGCAGGGAGCAGTTGTAGGCGGCTCCGGACTCCAGCAGGAAGCGCAGGAGAGGGAAGTGCAGTTTAAAGCTCTTGAGGCAGATGTGGGTGAGGGACTCGTGGGCCGGGCACTCACTGGGGTCAGCCCCGTGCGCCAGCAGCAGCCGTGTGACTTGGAAGCAGAAGCGGTTGATCATCTGGGCCTCCTCTTTGTCCCCTCCCACAGTCTCGCCAAGCAGGAAGATGATGCAGGTGAACACCGTGTCCCCATCTTTGGTGGTGGCCTTGACAGTCGGCCCCTAGAAGAGCCATAGAACAAGAGATGCTGGGAGAAGGCCCGCAGCCGTGACACAGCAGCAGCGCACAGTGAAGGGCGCACAGCAGGTGAGAGGACAAGGCCCCGGATCGCGCCAGCCTCACCTCCTTCCAGTAGGAGCCGGATGTTCTCAGTATTGTGGATCTGCACCCCATCGCTGCTGGCCAGAGCGTGAAGCAGAGCGGTCTTTCCTAGGGAGGGAGGGAGAGCGAAGAGGAGCAGGAGGCCAGGAAGCCCCGGCCAGGGCAACCCAGACACAGAGCATCAGAAGATGAACTTTCAGAGACAGCTCTCAGCTTGGGTGAGGGCTGAAGGTGACGGGCTTCTGGCCATTCCCTTTCCACCCAGAGAAGTGGGAGTGGAAAGGCCAGGAAAAATAGGATTTTTCAGGACCCAAGTGGCTACCTGAGATGCGGGCTGGGCCTCTCCTGCCGGACAGCCTTGTTTCTTGGTAAATGCACACACACCCTATTTCTTCCTATAGACAGCCCTTGTTTCTTGGTAAATGCACACACACCGTATTTCTTCCTATAAACAGCCCTTGTTTCTTGGTAAATGCACACATACCCTATTTCTTCCTAGACAGCCCTTGAGGGCCAGCACAGGGACAATGACTGCACTGCCTCTCGAAAGCCTGAGCTCGGCAAGTCGGCGGAATTCCCATGCGCCCAGTTGTGCTGTGCCACCAGCCAGGGCCAGCATCCAGCCTGCCCACCTAGCTGTCGTCCTGGTGCACCCTGGGGGTCCACCACAAGGTGCCTGGGGGCCCAGCTGTCCTGCTCTCCTGCAGGAGGCACCCACCATGCTTGTCAGCAGCATTGACGTCCGCTCCAAGGTCCAGGAGGCGCTGCAGGCAGGGCAGGCGCTCGGGCTCCTCGCTGGCCAGGTCCAAGGGGCTACTCTCATGGATCTGAGCCAAGCAAGCACAGCCAGGTTGGCCTGGGAAGCTGCTCAGGCCCCCGCCCCCCAAATTCAAAGCAGGCTGAACTGGCACTCACCCGGTCCCTCCGATTAATGTCGGCCCCGTGATGCACCAGCAGCTCCACCATGTCCGGCTGGTTCCGCAAGACGGCGATGTGCAAAGCCGTGTAGTAGGTGACTGGGTCTGAAGGCGCAGATGGAGCTCGTGTGGGTCCTGCCTCTCCGCATTCTCATGGGGCCCCTGACCCAGAGCCCAGCCCCATACTCACACCTCAAGTGTCCAGAAGCCACAGGCCCAGGCTCCTGTCACCATCAAGGGTTAGGACAGAGCTGTCTCGCCAGATACCAGAGGGCCCTCGGGATGTTCTAGTGGGCATGTTCCTTAAGCTGTTGGGGCTTTAGTTTCCTCTTCTGTAAGAGGGGACCATAACACGGGGCACCCTCTCGGGATGGCTGGGAGCCATATTAGACCGCAGCTCCGTGGCTGCCCCACCCTGTAGGCCTGGTAGTAACAGCCAGGTTCTCCAAGCTGGTCTCCAAGTCACTGGCTTCAGAACCCACCCTCCCGTCTCAGCTCCTTGACCCTCCAAGAGCCCAGCAGCCTCCAAGCCTGTCTTCGGATGGGGAAAGGAGACGTGCCTGGTGGCCTCAGGCCCCCATGACGTTACGAGGCAGCCCTGCCTGTCTCCTGACTAACCCTGCCCTCCCCGGGGTGAAAGCCAGAGAGAAAGGAGCATGGCTCCATCTCCATCCCTGGCACTCAGGAGCCGGAGCCGGCATGTCCTGCGGTGATTGCGGCCCGTTTTCCCCTCTCCCTACGGCATGAGGAAAAAACACAAATTGGCTCAGAGTTAAGTGGCAGAAAATTACCTTCCCTTAGCTCTGGGCACAGTGCCAGCAGCCGCATTTTCACGTTAATGGAAGTGGAGATTAATCTGGGAGCTGGGGAAAGTTTGCTAATCAATCACACAGTAGAAGCTGCAACACCCGCTCTTGGAACAGAGGTGGAAAGAGCCATGTGAAAACCCACAGAGGGTGGGAAGCCACACAATGGGAGTTTCCTTAGATGCTGCCACCCAGGAAATAAACTGCGGGGGAGGAAGTCACTCCTCAGAACGGTAACAGCCGAGGCTGGAGACATGGGCGCCCACTCAGCACAGGGCCACGTTTAAGCTGCCTCCCCAACCCCAGGGTTCTAGCTGACCTTCGAAGTTGAGATTGGCCCCATGCCGAAGGAGAACGTCGGCAGCTCGTGTCAGCCCCAACTCGGCCATCTTGAGCAGGGCGTTGCTCACGCCTTCCTGGTAAAAGGGAGAGTGGGCTTTTCTCTCCAGCAGCTCGGTGAGAACAAGGATTCGGCTCTCCTCGCTGGCGACATAACTGGGTCTGCAGCAGGAGAGAGGCTGAGGGTAGGCACGGCTGTGGGGCCGGCTGGCCGGGCGGCCTGTGGGTGCGTGACCTTTGGTGGCCTGCTGCAGTCAGCAAGCAGGGCCCCGGCTCTGTGGGGCACGGAGGCCTGGGAGAAGCTCTGAAGTAGAGAGGGCCAGGTGCATCTCTTAAAGACGGG